GGTGGCCGCGTTACAGGACGCACTCGATGACGCAGACTGGGGCATGTTCAGAAACAGCTCCGACGATGACGTCAACGTGTTTACGGAAGCGGTTGTGGGATTCATCGGGAAACTAGCGGATGATACCGTGGAGACAAAGACTATCACAACGTTTCCCAACCAGAAGCCGTGGGTGGATAAAACCATCCGCGACGCTCTGAGATCCCGCACCGCTGCCTACAACACGGGACTCATGACGGGGGACATGGACCCGTACAAAGCCGCGTCATATAACGTGCGGAGGGCGGTGAAAGAGGCGAAGCAGCGCTACGGGAGGAAACTAGAGTCACAACTCCAACAGAGTGACTCTAGGAGCCTGTGGCGGGGACTAAGGACAATAACGGACTATAAAGCACCAACAACCGGTATGACGAACGCGGCCGTGACTCTGGCAGACGAGCTGAACACTTTCTATGCTCGCTTCGAGGCTGCAGCTAAGGTCTCCAACAATGCTAGTGTTAGCGGCGCTAACGGCTGCAGACAGGAAGATACTGCCAGCACCGGAAACGTGCTCGTCATCTCCGAGCATGAAGTAAGGAGAGCCTTCAAGAGAGTGAACACCAGGAAAGCAGCAGGACCAGACGGCATCCCAGGTCGTATCCTAAGAGACTGCGCATACCAGCTAGCTCCTGTGTTCACTGAGATATTCAACATCTCTTTATCTCAGTCGGTCATCCCCACATGCTTCAAAGAGTCCATCATTGTTCCTGTCCCGAAGAAACCCCACCCTGCTTCTCTCAATGACTATCGCCCTGTAGCCCTCACCTCAGTAGTGATGAAGTGCTTTGAACGCCTGGTCAGAGACTTCATCATTTCTTCACTACCAGACACACTGGACCCACTACAGTTCGCTTACCGTCCAAATCGTTCCACAGACGATGCCATCTCTCATCTCCTCCACACATCACTCACTCACTTGGACACTAGAAGGGGGAATTATGTTAAAATGCTCTTCATAGACTACAGCTCTGCATTTAACACCATAATTCCCTCCACACTCACCACCTAGCTGGAGCATCTGGGACTCAGCTCATCTATGTGTCAGTTGATCTCCAACTTCCTAACTGGCAGACCACAGGCAGTAAGGATGGGCAGACATGTCTCAGCCTCCACCACTCTCAGCACTGGAGCCCCCTGCTGTACTCTTTGTACACATATGACTGTGTGGCCACTACCAGCTCCACCACCATCATCAAGTTTGCTGACGACACCGTTGTGGTGGGCCTGATCTCTGATAACAACGAGACGGCCTACCTGAAGGAGATTAGGAATCTGGAGAACTGGTGCCAGAGGAACAACCTCCTTCTAAACGTCAGTAAGACAAAGGAGCTGATAGTGGACTTCAGCACTAAGCAGGAGAGGAACTACCAGACCCCCGTCATCAACGAGTGCCCAGTGGAGAGAGTGGACAGCTTCAAATACCTCGGAGTTCACATCACGCAGGACCTGTCATGGTCCTGTCACATCAACACCGTGGTGAAAAAGGCCCGACAGCGTCTCTACCACCTCAGACGCTTGAGAGACTTCCAACTGCCCTCCAAGGTGCTCAGGAACTTTTACTCGTGCACCATAGAGAGCATCCTGGCGGGAAACATCTTAACCTGGTTCGGGAACAGCACCATGCAGGACAGACGAGCTCTACAGAGGGTTGTGCGGTCAGCTGAGCGCACCATCCGCTCCGAGCTCCCTGACCTGCACTCAATCTACAGCAGGCGGTGCTGGACCAAGGCCAGGAAGATCGTGAAGGACCTCAGCCATCCCAACAACAGACTGTTCTCTCTGTTGAGGTCAGGAAAGCGATTCCGCTCCCTGAAGACCAACACAGAGAGACTGAGGAGGAGCTTCTTCCCGCAGGCGATACGGTCTCTCAATCACACCACCACACAGTACTGACCCACACATATGGTTCTTACACACACACTGGACTTTCTGGACATTGTTTTTGCACACATTGTTTTTTTGCACAACACTGGTCACTATATTCTTCATTTCCGGTTAATACTTGTACAGCTGCTGTTATTGTGTATATATTTATTTAGATTTAGATTTATTCATACATTCTTATATAGTTCTATATTGTGTATTGTGTATTTTGTTGTACAGTTATTTTATTTTCAACTTTAATTTATATATTTTATCTTATTCTTCCCAGTTAAATTTACCCTTCATTCTAATTTGTGTTGTACAGTTATTAAATTTTTAACCTTAATTTATATTTTATTCCTTCCTAGTTAAATTTACCCTTTTTAATTTTTCATATTTATTTCCTATCTTATTCATAGCCTTTTCCTTTTTTGTTCTCTTTAGGTCACGAGCAGTTGTCCAAGCATTTCACTACATATCGTACTGTGTATGACTGTGTACGTGACAAATAAAATTTGAATTTGAATTTTGAATTTGAAGCCTCATATCACCAACCACAGGAGAACCACAAAGCTCCTGATGCACACTTTTTGTCCTGATGTTAATGCCAGAGGACCTTTGAAACTCTGCAGTTACTTAGTCAGCCTAGCTTGGCAATGACTTTTTCACATTGTGTACTTTAGCACTCTGTCATCCTGCTCTGCAAGAGTGCATGCTCTGACACTTCAAGGCTGAGTTACTAAATACTTCTGCTTGCAATAAAACCACTTACAGCTGATCTTGGAATATTTAGGAGAGGACCAAGTTCATGAACAGACTTTCTGCAACAGTGCAGTCCTATTATAGTACTAAGCTCTTGAGAATAACCCAGTCTTTCACAAATGTTTGCAAAGGCAGACTGCATGATTGAGTGCTGGATTTTATACACCTGTGACTGAGGGATTAAATCAACACCTCAACTGAGCGATTAAGCCGTGTGGCCCAGTTAGTCCATTTTTTGAAGGAGAAGCATATCAAAGCATTTGACACCATTAACTTATTAATTTAAGTTTTTGCTACACACGCCATTGGAACAAAATATCACCCATTAACTATGCTCTCCTGTAAACTGTAAAGCTGCGTCCGAGAGGTTTTATCCATTTCTTCCTTGGAATGGGCATGTTTTTCCATCTGATAATCCAGAGCACAAGTTATTACATCACACAGCCTTACTGGTTTCTCCTGTGTTTGTTAGATGGACCTCTGGCAGCACTGCCTCCATCCTGGAGGTCTGGGGCGGGTCACCGTCTTCCAGCTCCAGCTTTATTCCTTTGCCTGAAAATATTTAAGACAACTTGTTAGAAGTTACTGCTTGATATTGCAATATCATGCAACTTGGGATGTGTTTTCCCCTAATTTGTCACAGGGCTTCAATTTTTGCAGTAATATAAACTTGTCACTAGCCCACTGCCTTTACTTGAGAACCATGTAATTGTAAGATGTGAGCACGTCTCTGCATAAACTAGTAAACCAGTGTTGCCTTCACGGACTAATTGCTTTAGTTATTTCAAGCTGTCACTTATTACTTCGCAACTGGGGCAGAAGCTAGCTTCCCTCATCAGTGTGTGTGTAAGCTAACAGTAGGAACACTCCCCTTCCCCCTCCCATGCTGAGCATGCGACAGTTGTTTTGCAGCAATGATAAACAGCACCCCGCTACCGGGCTCCTTACCAATGTTTCCTCACACAAACTCGACGGCTGAAGTGTGCAGTCAGATTACACGGCACCCGAAGTCCGACATTTACACAAGTCCCCGACCATGCGCGAAGGTAAAACAAGCGTAAATCTACCGGATATACGCAAAAGGTCACAGTCCACCCTTCTAAATAAAATCATACTCACATATTAAAACATGACATCGTTATGAAAATGGCTTTAAACCTAAAGTATGAAGTGGTCCATTACAGCTAGTGAATCTTATATTAACTATTAATGCAAACTGTTTAAATTCTGTATTGTGTCGTGTTTTTTAACCAGTTTGAAGAAAATTAGAAAAATAAATAAATAATAATAAAAACAGCAGAAACTAAACAAAAAACATTACATTTTACACCAAATCTTAGCATCTACAGTTATTTTTTACTACTGTTGATCATTTTAGACGTTATACTCTGATTTTTATACAGCAAGGACACCTATGCAACTTTAAAACTAAATACTTTTTCGGACAAGCCTTTATTCTGAAAAGGTACTTCCTGGCTAACCAGCACGCGTTTGACCGATAATAACCTTAACTGATAAACCACCAAGTATTTAAGTCTCACCGCTTGCGTAAAATAGTCTCCGTTATATAGACATGCCCACATCAGCTGTCAAACCGCACTTCGTTTCTGAATTATAAACGGCCGTAACAAATATAAGCCTTCGGGCCTTTTCGAGCTTCACTTTCCTCTGGTCTCTGGGGTTTGGTGCTGCCTGCCTCCAAGAACTCCACTTTCACAGCGATTCCCACACAAAGGGCCCCGACCTATTAGGGTCCACTCTGTACACTCCTGTTAGGCTCTCCGAGAACAAGAAACCAGCTTTTCTTCTACCGTCAAGCAGAAACAGTCACCCTTATCATGATTTCTACTGAGCATCCTGACGGGGTTTTAAAATGTTTTAAATTCAAGATGGAAACAATTTTCCTGGTATTAAACCAGATTTTCACGAGACAGGATATCGGCTATGCACGCTAGTGGTGGGCGGATCGATCCACATATCGATTGTATCGATACTAGCCTGGTGAGATCGATTCTTTACTTTAAGTTTTGCTCTTGTTTGCAGTGCCGTGTTTCGGCAAAGATGAAACAGCCAGGTCGCCGGACTCGCCGCTCCTGTGTCAGCGCAGAGCAGGCACACTTTGCTCCCCCTCCCCCCTCTTGTGTTTAGGTGTTGTGCTGTCACGTGACGCGATTTAGACGCTTTGGTTGTTAAGTTGTTTACATATTTTCACCAGTTATATTATAGTTTCTCAACAGTACTTGTTTTAACTTGTTTACTGGTTCTCCTGCCTTTTTTGAAGAAAAATCTTTAAATAAAACCCCCCCAAAAAACCTTGATAACCAAACCACCACGGCTGCATTTTCATGCTTCGCAGCATCTTTTATTCTCACAATAATCACACGGCTGCTGTAACAGTACATTCAACGGCTGCAGCTCTCCACATCACCAACAACACAAGAAGAGTACATTTTTAATCTGGCGAGGCATGACTGTAGATGAGTCCATCTCACATGCAGCGGCATCCCCATCGCCCGCCTGAGGCCGGGGGGCCATCCGGCCGAACCTACTCCCCAGTCCGCTGAGCAGGCGAGGGAATCGGCCCGGACGGGGAAGTGTCCACTCTGGCGGTCGCCCGCGCATCCAGCGGCGCCGGTGACGAGGTGGTTCCTGGGGCCGCCCGCACCTCCAGCTGCAGCCCCGTAGCTGGTCCGGTGGCCACCCACATTGGCATGTGAGGGGTTTTTTTTTAATCCAGGTTTGCTTTTACTTCATTGGAAGTGTGGTTGGGACTATTGTCACCATAAAAATACCATGCCTCCTCCTCTCTACACACTGATGACAATTTGATTTACAACTCCATACTCGCTGAGATATGCCAGGTTTTTCGCTAATAGCGCTTTGCGAATCACCTTGTTGGTGCAAAAATACCAACAATTATACTTTATTCATGTATTATTATTGTATGTATTTTTGTGTGGTCTACCTTACAATATAAAGCACCTCCAGGCGACTGTTGTTGTGATTTGGAGCTATATAAAAATGTTACCTTTGGCAATTTTTGTAGGTTTGATGAAGGGAATGGGAACAAATGATATATTTTTATGACAGGCTGCAAATAACAAATTGCATAAAGGTACAATTTAAAATTGGTTCTTTACTCAGATGTCAGTTGTGTAGGCAGAACACTGAGTTAGGTGTCTTTTTTATGCTTGAATGAGTCATAAATCAGTGTTAAGCAGCTTAACAAAAGAGCGAGAGAGAAAATACATTCCTCTATAAAACGGTCAGGTACAAGGACTGGACTGAAAATGGGTGAAGAAGAAGCCAATGTACAAAAATAAACTACTGGTCAGAACTACATTTAAAAAAACAAAACAACCTACAAGTCTGTCTCTTTGGAAGGAAAATGTACTGAAACGAGTGGTGGCTCAAGACATTTACACAATATTGTAGATAAAAACTTTACAGCAAAAAATGGCACAATATGCTTGTGTCAAGATTACAACTGTATTATTCAAACATGTCTAATAATGAAGGACTTAAAAAAAGTGGATAACATAATCACAAAACCATCGCTGGAATTAAAAGGACAGAAAACCTGAAATGTGCACACGTTCAAATACACAAAAAACAGCTTCCCAGTGTCCTACATTCAAATTTGTCCCGTTACCATAGTGCAGCCATAGAATGAATGCGCTGCTTAAACTGCTGCCCACTGACAAAGCTATCACAGAACAGGTTGCATCTTAGAGTTTAAACCTTCCAACACATCATCCCTGAACTTTAAACTTTACACAAACAGCCAACAACTTTCAGTCATCATCATCACCAAACTTGATCTTCTTCCCCTGGAAGGCCAGGATTTGTCCTTGCTGCTCCTTCCTTCTCTTACTGGCCTCCCAGGATGGATGCAGTGCCTGCTGTGGTGCCCGATGTGAGAAGACACCTCCACCCCTGTGATCTTTTTGTCTCAGAACATCGCCTCTGCCTTGTCCCCTTCCTCTGCTAGCGGTAGCAAAGCCCTTATCCTCGGGGTAGGGCTTGCTGTACTTAGACCCTGAACTTTTCTCCGGCTTCTGGAACTTGGGCTGTTTATTGAAATCTTTATTGTGTTTCCTAAATTTATCTCCACCTTTCCCTCTGCTAGCACCTCTACCCCCAGCTGCCTTGGTCCCAGCCAGAGAAGGACAGAAGAGAGACTCCAGCTTGGTCGTTTTTGATTTCAGCCTAGATTCAAGCTCATCGAGTTGATTCTCGAGCTTGTCCGAAGACACGTTCTCAGCAGAGTCCTTTCCTGCCTCAGCTCTCTTATCCGCCGCCATCTTCTCCATACTTTCGTCTTTTGGCTTTTTCTTTTTCTTCTTGAATTTGCTCACTTTTCCTACAAAGAAGCCGTCATCATCATCGCTCTCCTCCGACTGCGATGACTGCTTGTGGAACCGTTCCTCCGTGCTGTCATCAAAGTACTCTTTCTCTTCATCACCGAATGACTCTAAATCGCTCTCTTCCTCAGCTGGCTCAGCCTGGATAATGGGTTTCTCTTTTTTAACTGGAGGTTTATTTTTCACAATCTCCTTTATGTCACTAGTTTTTCCTGGTGCTGCTCTAACACTCTTAGGCTCCGTCTTTTTTTGTGCGTGAACATCAGAAGTTCCACCTTTCTCCATTTCTTCTCCGACTTCGGCAACAGCTCCATCTTCACTCTCTTTAAGACGTTCCTCCTCGCTGTTTTCCCTAAGCTCCTCTTTTCCCTCCTTTTTCTCTTGTAACTGCAGAGTCACCTTTCCTTCCACTGCCTTCCCTTGATTTTGCACTTTGTCCTTTCCTCCTCGCTTCCCGCTCTTCGTCCGCTCCTCTTTGAAGGCTTTTACAGCTGCTTTGATGTTCTCAATCTTCCTGCTGAATTGAGGGTGGGTGGCGATGCGAGCGATGGCCCGGTCAGATATGGTAGACTTGGGGTTCTTGCAAACCTGCTCAAAGCTGAGATTCTTCTGTAAGGCGGTCTTGGTCACCTGTAGATAAGTTGAAAAAAATATTTCAAAATGAAAAGATAAAGAATGAAATGGCTTGGAAGTCGTTGCAGAAATGATTTGCTGATAGGACAACAAGCCCACCTGATCGGGTACGAGGTTCTTCATGTCGTGGATCTCTTCCAGAAGTCTGGCGGCTCTCCTCTGATTCCTCTCCATCTCGGTCTCGTTCCCCTTCTTCTTCTTCAGCGCGCCAATCTGACGTGTCAGCTTCCTTATGATCAATGCCCTGACCCTCTTCACCTCCTTCCTCATCTTCACCACCTCGTTGTTGAGGTTCAGCACATCTGCCTCCTTTTTCTCCTCATCATGATCAGGTAAGGGATTCTTTTCCTGCTCCTTTTTTTCCTCATCTTCTTCCCTCTCACTTCCTTCTTCTTCCTCTTCTGTTTCTTCTTCATCTGTCTCTCCCTCCATCTCCTTCTCTTCGTCCTCAGCAGACGGCACCATTTTCTCCATTTTGTGCAGCATCATCTGTTGAAAAATAAATCCATATACTGCAATAAGAGCAAGAAGTGCAGCACTAGCAATGGTGCAAAAGAAAAAAGTCACGTGAGGGCGAAATGATCTTTTTTTACTCCCATATTAAGTAACCAGAATGCGAACGGTCATAAAAAATTCAAAGTGCAGTTCATTGATATTTGAGGTTATTTAATATAGAAAAAAATGTAATCATAAATATACATCAATTAGATTATTACATCCTCCAACAAACAGATGCATTCTCATAAACTTAGAATTAATGTATTAAAACCACAAAGGACCGGCTGCCTATTTGTGGAAGTCACCATGTTGTCTTGTCATGTTGAATACAGTGGCTGAGCTAAACTCTTGTCTTTTAAATTAGTGTCTGCACCTTCAGATGATATGAAACATCATTCCTATGTTTTATCATGTGAGAAGGAGTCGCCATTCACACACACATTCACACACTGGTGGAGGCAGCTACAGTTGTAGCCACAGCTGCCCTGGGGCAGACTGACAGAAGCGAGGCTGCCATCGGCCCTTCTGGCCAACACCAGTAGGCGGTAGGTGAAGTGTCTTGCCCAAGGACACAACGACCGAGACTGTCCGAGCCTTCCGATTAACTCCCAGCCACGATCGCCCCGCAATCGTGGCTCAGATGCAGTTTTTATGTCCAAGTAACCACTGAAAGTACAGTAAGATTTTAGCTCATACATCAAAACAACTTTCCTCTGTGGCAGAGTGGCATGACGTCCCCCAAAGAAGGAGTTTGTTTCTGAAGTCCACCCCACACCAGAAATAAATAACATTAAATTAAATACACCGCATACTGCTTTACCGAAATTATCTCTTTTATGGAGCTTTTATCTAAACACAGATTGGAAACAACTTTTCTTACTACAGTTCTTCCGAGAAATCCAAAAAAATGTGCTTAAATACCCGGCGGACCCTTCCAAAACAAACGTGGTTGAACACGCATGGACGCGTTTCACCACAAAAGAATAGCAATAAATAGCTCGCTCTACTTAAAACACGATTAAACCTGGCAACAAATCCAAAAGAGCATCGCTGCAAAGTTTTACCGCGACACTTACCGTTCAAAAAGGACAATTAAGAGCGAAAACTGAGCAAATCGCTTGGGCTAGCTGGGAGCGGCCATGTTTCGCACGCCTCCGACAGCGGCGTGACGTCAGACGTCAGCGAGTCAACGCCGCCGTGTCGTGAAAAGGGGAGGGCCTTCCGCGGACTGTTTTTATTTATTTCTTTGTTTCATGTGCATAAAACAACAACAATGGTGGATAATTGAAGAAGTGTGAATATTAGGATGAGCGAATGACGTGTCCAGTCATAGTTACCAGGCCGATATCACAAGTGAATCAACAGGGGGATGATGAAGCGGCGCAATGCGGACTGCAGCAAACTCCGACGGCCGTTAAAACGGAACCGAATCACCGAGGGTATATATAGCAGGTACAAAAAGGGGGCCGGGGGGACGTTATTGTATAACAATGGCGCCTAGTTGCATATGTCAAGACAAGGCGGCCAGTCTCTGCTCATGTTCATATTGAAGCGTATTGACGCTTTGTTCTCGAGCTGAATGAACATGCCCGCTTATTGTCATAATTATAGGCCTAGTGTGGCATCGTTTACACGGCTAGGCAGTTAAATTCAAATTCGGGTTAAATGTAAAAGAATAATGCAAATTGCGTTCAGCGGTCAATCCGCTTGACAAAAAAAATCCCAAACAAAAACTAAACAAAACCGTGAAGTCGTGGGGGGAATCCTGCTCGTGCTCGAGATGACAGCAGCAATGTCAGAGGCGCTCGTTTTGAAGTGGAACGGGTTCTTCTCACCTGTGCTTTGTCTGCCATACACCGGGGGCTAAATTTAAAGACGTCAGTGGAAACCGTTAGCAGCAAACAAAACGAGTCCCCGGACCGGAAAAGCCACACACGATTCAAGCACGGCTCGCAATTTCAAAATAGCATGGCCTTTCCTATAGACTGATAGATGGCAGGCCAGAACAGCTGTGCAGCAAGCTAGCATGTCCAGACATGAAACTCTGTACATACTGTTTTGCCCCCAAAGGTGTTTGGATGGATTGTTCTGATCTTTTATTGATGGGAATAACTGTATGCGTCCGCGCTCTGTGCTTCACTGTTTTTTAGTGGTATTATTATGTTAATTTTTTCTCTGAAATTAAATATTTTTTAGCTTTTATAGTGTGAAAGACAAATAAGCTCCATTTGTGTACAACTTTCCCACCTCTTTCATCAATTAAATTAATATAAGCATAAACGGAAGCTTTATGCTTTAAGTTTTTGTGGTCTTCTGCAGTAGACCTGAAAGTCACATGCTCACTCAAAAATGCAGTTTAGTGTTATTTGAGCTTCTGTTCTGTTCACACAAAATGCTGTGCAGCCCCATCATAAACTGAGAAGCCTGGTCAGCCTTGCTACAATGTTAGACACCCCAGGGACCAGGTGATCCTCAGATAATGAGCAAGCACTTGGTGATGATGGGGAGGAAGAACTCCCTCTTAAGACAAAGAGACCTTTGACAGAGCCAGGCTCAGGAAGGGGCAGCCACTAGGAACACTAACCCCCAAAATTGGCTGGGGACACTGTGGGAGAGAGAGACGAATGTCTGTGCCATGCAATAGTTTGGTATAAAACACGGAGTGCAGAGGAGAAGCATTCAGCCCCAGGAGCTTATAGCAGTATACCTAAGGGATAAGGATGGTTCAGGGAGCTTTTAGGACAACCGGATAACAAACTACCGAAGTCGAGCCCAGAAGTAACAAATGCACATACCAGTTTTTCAGCAGGAGGCAGGATTATTCCTACTTTTGCCTTCAATCCTAGAGCTAGCACTGCAGGTCGCACTGAAAACGTGGTTCCTATAAACATATTAGACTGTTGCATAAACCTGAGGCCCACATGACTGTCATTAAACTGTATCTAAATCCACAATAAGCCATCTTTAGTGGTTCTGCTTTATCTCCTTTTTTCATCTGTCCATTCACCTTCCTTTTTCCCCTGTGTTTTCCTCTGTCTCTTCTCCACAGCACGTTCCTGTACCTGAAGTTCCTGGTAGTGTGGGTGTTGGTCCTGCTGGCTGACTTTGTGCTCGAGTTCCGCTTTGAGTATCTGTGGCCTTTTTGGCTTTTCATTCGAAGTGTCTACGACTCCTTCAGATATCAGGGGCTGGTAAGAGCTTAGTTGTAATGACCCTGAACACACCGCTCCTTCCACTCAGTATAAATGCACGTTGGAAGATGAAACATCTAATATCTCCATCCTTTTCTCTCCCATGCGTTTTTAGGCATTCTCCGTCTTCTTTGTGTGTGTTGCGTTTACATCAGACATCATATGCCTTCTCTTCATCCCCGTCCAATGGCTGTTTTTTGCTGCCAGCACCTACGTATGGGTCCAGTATGTCTGGCACACAGGTTAGTCCAAGTTGGGGTTTTTTTCTTGCTATGTTTTTCCCTTCTGGCAGCCAAATGGCCACTTTCACCTCAAATACTCAGTGCGTAAGAAATTCAAAGCTGCCAAGTTTCTTCTCTGCTAACTTGATGTTTTTTTCCCCACGTCTCCTCCTTTCATGCAGAGAGAGGAGTCTGTCTACCCACTGTATCGCTGTGGATCCTGTTTGTGTACATCGAAGCTGCCATACGATTCAAAGATCTGAAGAACTTTCACGTAGACCTGTGTCGACCCTTTGCTGCTCACTGGTGAACATCAGTTTGTGATTTTTGCAACAATTTTCAATGTTCAGTAGTAAGAAATAAAATCATGACTTCCTTAATTTTTCTAATAATTGTACAAAGCACCGATTGTTTCCCCCCTACCTCCCAGTATCGGCTATCCAGTGGTGACTCTAGGCTTCGGCTTTAAGAGCTACGTTAGCTACAAGATGCGACTGAGGAAACAGAAGGAAGTGCAAAAGGAGAATGAGTTCTACATGCAGCTCCTACAGCAGGCGTTACCTCCAGAGCAGCAGATGCTGCAGAGACAAGAGCGGGAGGCAGAAGAAGGTAAGTCACAAAAACACATTAAAGGGGTTCTGTAATATTTTTCAACCATTTCTTTCATCTATATTCTGGTACTATTGTATGTTCTCATATTAAATAAGTGTTTCAAATAATAAAATGTGTATATATGGACGTAATCCCTGCTAGTCAGAAACTCGGGTTTCAGACAGGATGGAGAGCCATTCATTTCTTTCTTTATCCAAACAGTTTAACCACAGATAGTTTGCCACTGTGTCATGGGGCTAATGAAAAATGTGATCGCTAATTATTATTGAAGCTTTCACTTGAAGGCGTGCTTTCACCAATGCAGTTTAGAAAAAGTCTGCACACTGTTGTCTTCTATCACTTAGCTTTACTTAAGAACTAAGACCTCTAGATATGAGGCCATCTGGACTAACAAGTGTCTAATATACCATCAGAAGTATTGCGTGCCAGTCACATTGTGGTGATTAATGGCACGTCAGTCAGCATTTTCCCAAAGCTGGACGCACCGGCAGGCATCAGCATTAACTGTCCAGTTGTCATGAACAGCTCATTAAGTTGCAGCTGATTATAACACATACTTGTACAGGATGTCAGTTCAGGCTTCAGACACTGATTTCAATCTTTAGCAGAAGATGGCATTGACGCTTGTCATCGTGCTGCTTCTTGTTTTGTCCAGTGAATAGTTCCAAATGTAGAAAGTGAGGCGTCGAGTACAGCACAGATCTCATACAGAGCGTTGAACCCAGTTTATTTTCCCTTTTTTTCCCTTTAAAGCTACAAATGACAGAAACACTTCCCATGTAAGCAATGTAAGCTGAAAGAGTGAAGTCACTGTCATTTTACATCATTGGCCACAAACAGCTCACTTTGATCTTAAGCAGGCTGGATCAGACCAGTGAAACTGTGGTCAAAAAGTGGATAGTGGAAAAACAGCAACGTTTTTTAATCATTTAATTGTTTATGTTTTACTTAATTACTTTGGTGTAGTTTAAATGCCAATGACGGGGAGGGACGTTTGTTCTGGCTGATTCTGGCCCCCAGACCACATGTTTGACACCTCTGGCGTTATAAGCTGACTGTTCGTGTTAAGAATTTGTATAAAAACAGCTTGGAAAAAAAAAACTAAAGAATTTTTAAAAAGAGAATAAAGAAACAAGCAAATGTTCTGACTTTAACACTGCTACAAATGTTGAGCTGTTCATAAGCTCACATAGACGTAATCAGCCATCGCTGTATATGAACAAGGCTGGTATCCTGCTTGTGGATATGTTACCTTTTGGGCTTGAAGTGGGAAATAAACAAATGCAGTAACAGTTGCAGTTATTGATGTTAAAGGGGATGAAAGAGTTATAAGAAGAGAGTACTGTTTGGCTAACCCTATATATGTTTCACACTCCTTCTAAAGGCCTGTTGGTCAAGCTTTAACATCAGAGTTGGGTCATGGTCGGGGTAAGGATTTGGCATTCGGATGTGATAGTTGAAGCTGGTTGATCACATTCCTAGACTAGGTGATACAAGCAGACCTCAACTCGTCATGGGATGGGACGTACAGCATCATTTCACTACATGGTGTTATGTAAACTAGATGACTCAGTGCACACCTGTTTAACTTAACCTTTCAGTTTTCATCAGAAAATGCTGATGTGGCTACTAGTCATCGCTTTCTTAGAAATTCACAAGTTGGTAGTTTATGTTTTGAAATGATCTGTTACGCTTCAGATGCTCTGCTTTGCTTTCAAACTGCATACAAACCGAGATGCAGAACTAGACCCAGCTTTTTTTTTCTGCGGCTCGGCCCAGATTTTTAGAGTTCGTTTGACAGCGCATACACCTGCTGAGACAAACTGAACAAAACAGGAAATGCACCAGATTTGGTCCCCCCCCCTAAACAGGTTAGGTCTGAAATCACTCTTTTCTGTTAATACAAAACAGGAAACCCAGCTGCTGCCACAAGGCTGTTTTTTATACACACACACATATATATATATATATATATATATATATATATATATATATATATATATATATATAATATATATATATATATATATATATATTAGGGGTGCAACGATACACAAAATTCACGGTTCGGTTCGATACTTTGGTGTCACGGTTCGATATTTTTTCGATACAAAAAAAAATGTTCATGCCTTTTTAATTTGTCATTTATTAAAATTATAAATATATATTTTAACACAAAAGTACAGTTTTTAAATTTAACCCTAACCCTTGTGCGTGTTGTTTTTTAGCTCGTCATATTGCAGCCACAGAAATTATTTTGGCCATGAAACCATAAAGCTGCACTTTCTTTTTGCCTTATAGTCTGATTTGTCATAACTTCTCCGTTTTGTGGTAAGCTTTTCTTTGGCTGTCACTTCTTCACCCTGACCTGTCTTATTTGGCTCAGCAGAACTAAAATATATATCTGTCTGTGAAGGTTCTCAATCATCCAAATCATCGTAGTGAAATATATATCCTGCCGCACTCACATAAGCTCAGCGATTCTCTGCGCGATCAACCTCTCACATGTTTAAGCTGCGGGAGATTTCACTTGTCATGTTTGCATAGTAAGCTAACAATTAATAAGACGATGTCAGAGGAATTGGTGCACAAATTATCATCACTCACAGATCAGTGCTGTCGCTCTCTATACACAGTTCGCGCGATTGCAAAGTGAAAGCAAAAAAACAAGCGCAAATTCAAACACGATTTCAATATGTCACATATTGACAGTGGCTCACCCAATGACATAATTACCCAGCTACATTTCTGAAAGAATGCAAAAGCATTGACATATATTTTTCCTTCCTACAATAGCCCGACAGGCAGGGCAGAGATAGCCCCGGGACGTCGGGCTAGCGATATTGCGAGCCCTGTATCTGATTGAGGAATCACTCATCTTTGGAAAAGAGAGTTTATTACAGAGAAATGTCTCTTTCCAAAATAAAAGCTATACTATCCGCTTCTTCTGGGCTATATTCTCAGCAGCATATTAAACATATCAGGTCTCCATAAGGAGAATCCTGTGCTAACGGCTGTCTAAATGACTCGGCTAAAGTTTGTAGCATGCATGCTTGTTGTTTTTGTCTTTGCACTAGGATGATGTCGGTGTAAATGTGCAGTCATATTCGTTGTGTTCCCACTAGTGCTTTCAGGTTAATCTCGTTGAAATAACCTTAACGCTGCAACACGGCAAATCTCCGTTAACTAGCTACCCTATACAGAGGGGCTAGACGGCCAACACGTTAACGAGCTAACTGCGCTAACACACTAGCTCCCACCCATGTAATTGAGCATTGCATGGCACATCCAACATACTGTTTTACTTTAGTCCATGACTCACTTACCTTCAGGGTCATACGTCACATGAAAACCAAAATAATTCCAAACACCAGATCTGAATGAGGGTGGGGAGGTCCACTTCTGTCTCGCTAGCTTGCCCTGCGCTCTTCCTTCTGACCATGCTGTCTGTGTTGAGTGCTCAGTGAATCTGCGTTCGACTACTCCGCCTAGGCTGCACTCTCGAGCCTAGGCGGAGTAGTCAAATGCAGATTCACTGAGCGCTCAACACAGACAGCATCGTCAGAAGGAAAGTTGATAAAATAAATTACAAATTTTGTATTGTTCTTTTTTTTTCTCCCCTTTGGTTTTCTTTCTTTCTCTCCCCCTCTTTCTTTCATTCTTTCCCCCTGTCCTATCCCACAGTCATGTCTGTCCCGTTTGCAACTGAAAATAAAATAAATTCATAATTATAATAAAGGTCAATCAAATGGACCAATATGATGATCCACTTAAAATAAATCCTCTTGGCATCTTTCTTGGCCTCAAGACAACAATTCTGATGGCTATAGATCCAAACGGGACAAAAAAAAAAAAAAAAAATTGAAAAAATTGAAAAAAAAAAAAATTGAAAAAAATTGTATTGTTCGATACATATGCGTACCGAACCGAAAGCACTGTATCGAACGGTTCAATATCGATACGAATATCGTTGCACCCCTAATATATATATATATATATGTATATCTATCAGGGATTGCCAAGGTCATCACTCATTCTCTGTTTATGACCAAATATGAATCCAGTTTGCATTAGTATTTGCTTCAATTCATCTACTGTGTTTTTCTGTGTGTTCTAATGCTGTATTCAATTGCTTTCATCCAGCTGCCTTAGCTAAAGGAATCTCAGAGGTAGAGCCCACAGTGGTGTCCCAAAACGGAGCACCTCCTGGAAAGAAAAGCACTTCAGTACCATTACCTGAGCTGGAGTACCGGGAAAAAGGGAAGGACACTTCTGCAAAAGAGGGCAAAAAACAGAACACAGTTGGAATCAATAACAACAGTATTATACACGCACTGGACTCCAAACTACAGGAGACGGAATATATTGAGAACTACGTTGGGGCAAAAAGACTGAACAACGACCTGGCAGGCGACAACACGCACGCCGACACCAACACGCACACTTCTTCTAAAGAGGAAATTGGGGGGATGGGGAAGAACTACAAAAATGCCAGCGGAGGAGGCGGAGGCAGCAACTCGTCACCTCGGAATCACAGTTCTGCCAACGGCAGCGTGCCGCCAGGTTCCTCAGCTAATAAGAATGAGAAGAAGCAGAAGGGAGCAGGGAAGGGGCAGAAGGATCCGGTGGAGAACTGCATCCCCAATAACCAGCTGGGAAAGCCAGATGCTCTAGTGCGGTAAGACACCCCCGTTATCATTTTCCGACATCCATTTTTTTACTTGGATACTTTGAGGGACACTCACTACTTGCCACGTTTCCTTTTGTCTATCTCTGCTGGATAGCCAGCTTAGTCATATTTCAACACTGAAGCTGCTAAAACAACACTAGCATTATGTACTATATTAGAACAACTCTACACTGAAACTGATTCTTTTAGGAAATGTGTTTGCTAATATTGCCGTGTCCCTTCCCAAAGACTGGAGCAGGATGTGAAGCGTCTGAAGGCAGATCTTCAGGCCAACAGGCAGCTGGAGTCGGAGCTGCGGAGTCAGCTTTCCTCTCTGAGCAGCCAGGATCGTAGCCTGCGCTCCGAACTGAGCCAGCTGCGCCAGGACAACGAGCTGCTACAGAACAAGTGAGTGCATGTACACTTAATTGTCAGGACCACTACAGTCAAAAGAAAAGATCAGTATTTCCAACTGAAGTGATTCATATTTGACTGTATTACTCTGTTTTCGGACCTCCCCAATCTTCCATATGCATATATGGAAAGCCAGAAGAGGCAGCAGCAAGCCGCTAGCACAGAACAAAGCAGGAAAGACAACAGATATAATATTGATTATCTAAGAATGTCAAACTCATTTTAAACTGTGAGCAACAGCCCGATTTGAGCGGGGCAGACCAGTGAAACACCCCTCTCTATCAACATAAAGATATTTAACGGTACACCTAATCCCTGCAATAGCTTGGTATTAGAAAAAGAAATGCAAGTGAAAGAAATATTCTGCCACAACTTTTTTTATTTCTTACACATAAATGATAAGAAATACAGAAATTGTTCTGGTAGCTTATTATAAAACAGAAAGTTGTTTTATTTTTTCTTCTTATTTTTATTGCTTCGAACCTGTTGTTAAAAACAAAACAAAACACAAACAAACAGAAATTTCTATATTGGTTAAAAAAAACAGGATGTCTGTTGTTATTGTCATTGTTATTATTATTGTTATCATTGTTTATTTGTTACTTTGATGTAAATACAATAGGCTGTGGAGGAGGTCTTTATCTTTAGGAAAAGCTGTAAAATGTAAAATACAGTTTGAAGTTCAAAACTTATGCCCTCCTTAATATTTTGGAAACATGTCTAGTGGGCCGGTTGGGAGTCGTTGCCAGGCCCAATTTTGGCCCCTAGATCTTATGTTTGACACCCATAATGAAAGATATAACATGAAAGGAGAAGCTGGGGTGGAGGTGGTTTGTAAAGTGGTTTGCAGATAAGATATTTTGGGGAAGGCAGTTTGGGTTAGTGATATAACCTCAAGGATAATTCTATATTAAGGAAATCTGTCCTAATGATATTTACAATGATATAGAAAAACACATTTTATTCTTGATCACAGCTTGCACGCTGTTGCATTTATTTATTAGTGCAAGAAAAAGTATGGGGAATTTCCATCCTTCTATTCCAAGGAGTTACTGTCATTGATGATGCACTAATCTGATCTAATCTTAAGTGTGAATCTATTGCCACAAGGTGCCAGTAGCAGCATTAAAATTCATTAGTAGTATAGCGCATTATATATAGCATAGTGACACAGCATCAGATAAATGTAAACACAAAAGTAGCCTTGTAGTGTTTTCACTGGAGTTGAGCTGATCTGCCTGGACTGCGGCTGGATTTTTGTAGCCTGCCTGCTAACACTGTGTGATTTGCATTTTTTTTGTTTTTGTCTGGTTTTTTTTCTTCACAGTTTTTCAGATTCAAGTTTCTAAAGTTGTGTTCCACTGAAGAGAGGCAGATTAGTGCCATTTGTTCCCATAATGCGACTGTAGGAGTGTAGATTTGTCTTTAGGACCTCAGTGTACATTTATTTTAAACTTCATGGCCCAAGATCAGAGCAGTGAACATGCATCATTTTGCACTAATGTTCAAGTTTGGTTCATCTGTTCAGCTCGTTTCCAGTTCTATATTTTTATTCATAGGAACTGTAGAGAAATTTGCATGAGTCACAGTTTAAAATAATCCCCGTTTATCTTCTACTGGGCATTGGTGCAGCTCTTTAGTTCATCCACTGTTTAAAACGAGCTGTTTGAGCTTCTCCCTGTTTAAGGCCACACTCCTTTTAAACCAACAGAAACTGAGTACTTTAAGTTATTGGTGCTGGAGGTGGTTGTGCAAGCCACAGAGTCATGGAATGTATTTTCACAAGTGCTTTTTGCATTTTGGCTTCGTGTGTCGTTCATCTGAGATTGTATTTACCTCAAATTTAAGACCTGCCAAGGACCAGGTGATTTTTTTTTTTTAATGTGGTAATATGTACAACTTTATAATTCTAAATAAGGTGTACTTTCATTTTTTAACATTACCATATAATACTTTTCAGAACGGACTGCCCCGTGCATGAGGCTGCACGGTGCTAATGCGTTAACGAGCTAACGTGTTGACGGCGTGCAGCCCCACGCACAGGTGATCTGCGTTAACTCGCTAACGGAGGCTATGTCCACACTAGCCCGGATAGATTTGAAAACGGCGTTTTTGTCTGAAAACGCTCTGCGTCCACACGAGCATTTTCAGTCGTTTCACAGAGTTGTGTGTCCACATTGAAACGGGCGAAAACGCTTACGTTCCAGTTCTGTGCATGTGTGAAAGGCAAGACGCTTCGACCTGCCTCATTTCTGTCTGTCGTTTATTTACTTTCCGGCTCGTTGAAACATCACCGCAAAATGTTGATGAAAAGCGCCAAGTTTTTTAAATGGACTAATAATGAGGTGGAGTTGTTGCTGCGAGTAACACAAAAGTACAAAGTTGCAAAAGCGAGTGAGAATTAAAGAATTTGAAGAAAAGCTATCTGGAGCATGTACAAACTGATATTAATCTTTAATGCGCTGTCAAAATTGAGAGCAAACAAAACAATTGCTGTGTAATGCCCTCCGCTATCTTTGTTTAATTGGTCACATGACTGCATCACATGACTAAAATGTGTCATCGTTTTAGAAAGTCTCCTTTTCGCTGTCCACACTGCCATGAAAGCACTGTTTTCAAATGTGAGCGTTTTCGAAACGCTGCGTTTTCCATCAGCGAAAACAGCATCTCACTGTGGACGGGAGGCCAAAACGGAGAGAAAACGATGCGAAAACGCATTAGTGTGGACTTAGCCGGAGATTTGCCGCGTTAATGCGGTTATGGCGTTAACGTCATTTTAACAATATTAACGCTGACAGCACTAATTTATATAGCACAAAGTCACAACAAAAGTCGCCTTAAGGGTCTTATATTGTAAGGTAAAGACACCAAAGTAATACAGAGAAAATTCCAGCAATCTGACGACCACCTATGAACAAGCACTTGGAGACAGTGGGAAGGAAAAACTAAATTTTTAACTGGAAGAAGCCACTGGCAGAACCAGGCTCAGGGATGGGAAGCGAGGGAGACCGGACCTAATAGAGATCAATAATAATAATGAATGATTAAATGTAGCATGGTTTAAAAATACATAGAGAGTGAAAAGAGGTTAATGAAGAGGAAACGTGGATCAAAGGAAGCCTTCAGGAGCCTGGGCCTATAACATCTAAATAAATACACCAAATATTCTCAATGATTTCATTGTTGACTATTTTTTCCTGTGTCCTCCAGGCTCCACAGTGCTGTCCAGGCCAAGCAGAAGGATAAGCAGACCATCTCCCAGCTGGAAAAGAGACTAAAGGCTGAGCAAGAGGCTCGGGCTCTGGTTGAGAAACAGCTGGCTGAGGAAAGGAAGAGGAAGAAGATGGAAGAGGCCACTGCCGCCAGAGCTGTAGCTCTTGCAGCTGCAACCAGGTACAAGCCCTCACTATTTTTGTCTTTTGACTCTTAGCTGTTTTGTTTTGGGGCATTTTCAGCTCCTAAAAAGTTTTTCTTTTCCTCCTCTGCCCAACAGAGTGGAGTCGACCGATTCGCTCCGCGGTCGTATCAGAGAGCTGGAGACAGAGTGTAAGAAGCTCAGCATGGATATGAAACTCGCAGAGGAGCAGATTAGAGACCTGGAGGGCAAATGTCAGGTGAGCCTGAGAAGCAGAGTCTTTCCTTTATTATAACTGCGCCTTGTTCTTGTCAGTGTTTGCATACCAGGTTTAAATTGATTGGAAAGTACATTATTTAATTGCTCCGAATATAAATGCAGTTAACGGGCTGCTGCAGGACTCCAGCATATTTTTCCCCTGTTCTAAATGCTTAGTGTAAGTAACTGTTATTTTATAGCATAATAATGTTGTCTCACTTTCCTTTTCTGTTTCTCTCACTCCTGCCTCACAAAGGAGCTGCGCAAGTATAAAGAGAACGAGAAGGACACCGAGGTGTTGATGTCAGCGCTGTCCGCCATGCAGGAGAAGACCCAACACCTGGAGAACAGCCTCAGCGCCGAGACCAGGATCAAACTGGACCTCTTCTCTGCACTGGGGGATGCCAAGAGGCAGCTGGAGATAGCACAAGGTAAACTGCTGCTGTAGGAATCCAGTCATTTGCTCCTGAATTTCTAGTTCTCCCTTTGATTGAAGCACTTGCCTGCTCACAAGAACTGTGTCATCTGTAATAGAGAGGATGAAATTCTAACACAATGACTAAAGGGCTCTTGAAGAGGATATTAGAAATGAGGAAATATTTTTATGAGACGTGTCTTTTCAGCAGTTGAGATGCTCTTTCTGCTGCTGAAACTGCAGTGCTAGGGGCGCAGCAATTCTAAACTTGTTCCATAATCTTTTGTAACCTAATGGCTCGACAAACCTCCGTCTGTCTCTGGGAGCAAAATTGATAAACGACAGCCGCTACAGCAACACCATAAATCCCCAGCTACACGAGTGTAAGGAAGCGTTTGAGGTCTTGCTTTCAGCATCACAGCATGGCTTTTTTCCTAGTTTTATCTAGTGATTACTTCTTACTTCAGTGATTGCAGTGAGAATCATGTCTTCGCTTTGTTTCATTTGTGTAAACACAGAAGCAGCAAAGCAACGAATTTCAATTACATTTTGCCTCAAGGCACTTTATGTTTTAAGGTAAATACTCTAAAATAATAATGATGAAATTCCCAACAATTGGACAACCCCCTTATCAGCAAACACTTAGAGACAGAAGGAAGGAAAAACTCCCTTTTAACAGGAAGAGAAGCAGACTAAGAAGGTGAATCGACTGGTTAGCTGGGCCTTTCTGTGTCGAGTTTGCATATTCTCCCAAATTCAAAATGCTGGTTTAATTGGTGACACTACATTTGCCATAGCTGTGACTGTGTCTGTCTATATTTGTGTGTTTGGATGGGTCCATCTCAGACACAGGCCCCACCCACCTGTTATTAAAACTTCCTGTTTTCAAGCACAAGTAATCTGAAGACGTCTCATAGAGAGTGGGAAGAAAGCTAAAACATGCCATACCAAGACTGGTTTAAAATGAATAAGATGAATGATAATTATTTTAAACTATGAGGGTCAAGTGTGTCAATACTTTTTTTTTAAACAGTAATTGATCATGTTGATGGTGTTTTTATTGAACACAATGCTGTAATTCATTACACCTCACGTGAGAGTGTGGTTGTCAAGTGCTGACTTAATCTCAGTAAACTGCAGTTAGATTTTAATGAAAGAAGGCAAAGCCCAGGTGAAACTAATCACCTTTAAAATATGTTATTAATTCCACCTGTGCTTGACACCATATCTTCTTCTTCCTACTAGCTTTTATATTCTTTGACTTGGTGAATTACGGCATTTTTAGCTAGCTATTACGGCCCTTGGTTGCATAGTGTGGGACTAGCTACTCTCCTTATGGTGGCTGTGGTTTCCAGATTTGAATGACATTACTACAGGCTAAAAGCAGGTCTTCAGCAATGTTACTGAAAAACAGTAGATAAGTTAGGAAGCCACTGAAAAATTATCCTGAAATCATGTTGCAAACTGCATGAAAGCCATGGACTGTTAATATTTTTGTTGCCCCTCATGTTTAAAACCAAAACCAACACACAAAAAAATTGTACAGTGTGTCTTTGTTTTGACTTTCCCCCCCCCCTCACCCCCCAGGGTTCTTCCTGGTAAAATGTAGTTCTTCCTTCCCATTGTCACCAAATGCTCACTCATAGGGGGGTCATTTGATTGTTGAAGTTTTGTCTGTATTATTGTAGGATATTTACCTTACAATATAAAGCACCTTGAGGCGACTGTTGTGCTTTTCTTGGAATATAAGTAAAACTGAATTAAAAAGAAGGTGGCTTTAATATAACTGGGAAACTGGTCTTGTGAAACATCACTGCCTACCTAATAATGAGATGAGAACAGGAAGATGAGAGAAATTCATCTAAACTCATGATTTGTTCTTTTATTTTATTGTAGTTTAGTTTTTTTCTTTTGGTCACGTTTATAAAGTTGATCCCGTCCCTTTAATATTTCGGGCTGTATTAGCCCAGAAGGAAGTCAGAAATGAGGCTTTGCTATGAGAGCACACCTAAGGCTGTTTGATGTTCGGTCTGTCCGCCCCTCTGCTGTTTGTAATACTGTGAAATGAACGTTGTGTTTTTCCCACTCATCTCATCCCATCCAGGTCAGATCCACCAGAGGGAGCAGGAGATTGCAGAGCTGAAGCAGAAGATAGCAGAGGTGATGGCAGTGATGCCCAGCCTGTCCTACTCGTCAGATGGCAGCAACCTGAGCCCCGTGACCCCGCACTACTCCTCCAAGTTCATGGACAATAGTCCCTCCTCCCTGGACCCCAACGCCTCAGTTTACCAGCCCCTTAAAAAGTGACTCTGACATCCACGTTTGTCAGACGGGACTTTTCCTTTATTTTGATCTCAGTTCTGGTTTCGGGTTATTTTACATTATTTTCAAGCTTACAAAGCCCCGGAAAGTTTTTGCACTTTCAACACGCACACACAGACACACACAGCCCCTCCATACATCTGGGTATTCGCTCTGGGTGTTTTTTATTTGGGTTTTTTGTCCTATTTATTTTAGGGGGGGGTTGAATTTTGCTTGTTTGTTCATTTTGGGTTGTTTTTAGTTTTGAGGGTGTGTTGTTTTTTTTGGATTTAGCCATCAGACAGCGCGATCTGTTTGAAGGTTGGAGAAAGGAACAAACATTGTTTGGCCAAATGTACTGAAGAGCCATCATGCATCGCTTCGTGTCAGTCTTCTTTTAGTGTAAAGCATGAACCTCCCTCACAGGCATATATTTCTTTCTCTCTCTCTCTTTGTCGTCTGGATTAAACTGACAGACAGGCTTTTAGTTTAAGAAGAATTAGCTTCTTTTTTTTCTTTCCATGATGGTTTGTAGATGACAGAAGGCATACTTTCAGTGCAGATGTGAATTCGAAGCTCACCTGTAAAGTAAAGCCCTGTGAGAGATACATGAATGTAATACTGTTCATGTTTTGATATCAGCATTAACATAAATCAGTGATTGTTTGTTTCGGGTTTTTTGTAATATTTCAGTTCAGTCACGCCGATGTACATTTCTTCTGATTTAGTGATACTGAACAGATGATCATTTGCTGTGTTTCTCGGATACACTTTTAGTCTCTCAATGCTGGAATAGCGGTTTCTCCAGGATTATCAGTAAGTGGATGAAGCAGATGTAGACTACTACTCCTTGATTGGACGTGGCACTGCCGAAAAAAAGAAAAATGTTCCATCAACATTCAGTTGTTTGCTGCAGACACCTCTCTTCTTCTTCTCCCTTCTGGACCAAATTAGAACCGGTTAAGGCCATATCATTCGCTGGATTTAATGATGTCGAGGTAACCACCCCGCCCCTCCCGTTACCTTTATTTGGGGATCTCACAGTGCCTTGCAGTTTCTCTTTTTCAAAAAAAATGCAGAAAATACATACTTTGCAATCCTGGGATTTAAAAGCTTCAAACCTGTTTTCTCTCTCTTTATCCTGTTCATCCACTCACACGCGTTCATCAGTATTCAAAAGCTAAACCGATTACGTGTCATATCGCAGCTAATTGACCAGCTGCGAATTTAAAGGGAAAGCCTAACTCTGGTACATGGTACGCATTGTTTCACGGTGACACAGTCTTGGTATGCCAAACACCAAACCAAACTGATTGTCTTGCCCTCTTGCCGGCATTTTGTTGTTTACAGCGATGTACATTGACTTATCGAGGAATGTTTTCTTTCTTTCGTTTGGGTTCTTAAGTGCCAAGTGTTGCCATTCTGTTTCCATCCATACTTTGATTGATGTAGCTAGCATAATGTTTGCAGGAAAAAAAAAAAGAGTGCTGTTATGTTTTTGTTTTGTTTTGTTTTTCGGTTTTGTTTTTTTGTCAGTAGAACATATTCGGATAGTGTTGTGTTTACAAAAGGTTCTGGGCCGATCATGATGAAGCAGCAGAAGCAGATGGTCAGTCGGACTGCTCGTGTTATTCGCACATTTATTTATTTGTGACAGCCTTTTTTTTTTTTCCCTTCTTTTTTAAATTGAGTGACACTTCTTTGATATTTCCCATCACGATCAGTTGGTTTCCAGTGTTTTCTAACCAGGAAGGATTGTGTGAATGTGTCGTGTTGGGAAGAGGTTACCCCTGAACCATTTGACCATGTTGTGATGTCATGTTGCCTACCTGGGGGGGGGGGGGAAAAAAAAGAAAGAAAAAAAAAAAAAAGTATTGTTTGTGGATCGCTCTGGCGTTGTGAATTCAGTTCTCAAGTTGCTTTTACAAGTTTGTGTAGAAGGAAGAGAAGGTTTTAAAAAGTGCTTTGTTTTATCTTTTTATTGCTCCACCATGTTTTTGTTTTCTTTATTCAAAGTGATGGTGGCTGTGTCACACTTTTCACTTTGGTCATCACTATTAAAGAAAGTCTTGCTGGTGGCAACGCAAAGCTGTTGAGTCTGTGTACGTGTCATGTTCTGTGTGTGGACTTTCACAGGCCTTTTACATAAAACTTATCACAACATGGGGACAGTGTGATCTGCAGAATTTGCAGAGTAAACAAGAAAACGTACCAGTCAATATTCTCAAGGAAAATATCGAAACTTGTGAGACTTGTAATTTGTATGTGCTGTTTTCTATTCACACTCATTTAAAGCAGTAGCTTGAGCTTGCTGACACCTCCCAAACCTTTAATCTGGGTTTATTTGTTTTGTTCATGTTGTTATGTCTGAACTTAGACAAAAAACACATGCCCTATAATTCAATGGTGATTTCAGGTGCTATTTGTAAATGCCTACTCTGTTTTTTTTTTTTTTGGTTTGTTTGTTTTTGTCTCCCCCCCCCTCCCATGTAACCTGATATAAGCTTCATTCACTCATAAGGTAGACCAGGGGGGTCAAACATAAGGCCCAGAATTAGGCAAAGACTCCAATTCAGCCCTGCTGCACAGCTTTGGAAAATGCGAAGGAGGTTATTCATGGTACTCCAAAGTAATTAGGTAATTTTTTTTTAAAATTAATGATGGAAATGTTCCTTTTCTCCACCATCTACTACATAGATTTGTTTTGAGTTTTGTTTTTTTTAATAAATGGAAATAATAATCGTCCAAAGACATGCAGCTTGTGGGGATAGGTTAATTGATTAATCCAAATTGTCACTAGGTGTGAATGTGAGTGTGAATGGTTGTCTGTCCCTGTGTGTTAGCCCTGCGACAGACTGGCGACCTGTCCAGGGTGTACCCCGCCTTTCGCCCTATGACAGCTGGGATAGGCTCCAGCGCCCCCCGCGACCCTGAAAAGGATAAGCGGAAGCGAATGGATGGATGGATGGAAATAATAATGGATACAAAGGAAATACGCTCTGTATCCATTGCACACAATACAATGTATACAATCAATTTATAAGTGCATATATATTTTTAAGAGTTGTGCTGAGAGATTTCATTACTAGAGCAACATTTCTTTATCCTGCAGAGAAAACAGACGATGTTAAGGTTACACTTCTTATGGTGGCCCTGAGAGGCCAAACGGACTGCAACTTAAGAAAACACCAGCAATAAGCAAAACGCTGAAAAAGCACACAAAACACAGCGGAAATAGGAACAACGAAAACAGAAATAGGAAAGAAAAAAAACCCAGAAACTACTTCTTCTTATCATCATCTTAAGATATGTCAAGAATGAAATCTGTAATTGCTTCAGTTTTAGTGAATGAAATTCTAGAGATTTACTTGTCTGTTATTTAGCACTGATTAGCAGACATGCCTGTCTATTGTGCCTGTATAGTTTATAAATGCATTTTGCTAACCAAGTTGTTATACGGGCAGTCTGCCAATTCTGGGTTTATACTGTAAGAGCATTCTTTAAAATTGTGTCCTGAAAGCTATAGTTGAGGTTCTGATTTGGTCATATTTATGTGGCTCTTCCATATGAATCGTCTCTTCTTTTTTAAATTATTTATTTAGCATCCTTTCAGATACCACGTAATGTCCCATGTAACTCAAATGCAGCACCACTCCTCTGTAGTAAAGTCAGTGTTGTGCAAAAAATGATTGCTCGTATTTAAATTTCTATATATAAGTTTTTGTGTCTATAATATGTGAAACCTGTGAAATGATATCAAGTCATCTTGAGCCACAATCAACATTCCTGTAACAAGGTAGAAGCCGGACTTATCCAGTTTAAAAAAAAAACCTCGTTGACATTAAAAATATTTTTTGGCCTAAGAGGACAGCAGAAATTGCAACAAATATAACAATAGTTGTGTAAACATATTTTAAGTGCACAAAAGGGACCGGATTGGTTATAATGTAAGTACAATAACACAGAGTTATGAAGATACTTGAAAAACAGGTAATTTTAATTTTACATATAACCCCCTTTGTAGGAAAAATATTACATATAAGAAACACACGGAAAGTTTTTGGCAGGCGATGACTTTTTGACACAACACCGGGATTTCTGAGTGCACTGGAAGGCACCACAGGTCCATCCTCTCTCCCCATCAGCAGTCCGGTCAACATTTCTCCTGGAACACTTCGGGGAACTTCACCGACTCTCTGCACTTCAACACACCGACATGGATGCCCTCAAGTCTGCTGGAAGAGCTATTATCCGGAGCCCAAGTATGGCGAAACAGTCGTGGACTGCCAGCAAACACAGAAGTAAGAAATACTCGTTAAATTAGCTAAAGGAAAATAAAAAAAAAAACATAAAAAATAAAAGGTAATACCTTCTTTTTTTTTTTTTTACCGTTAGCAACAAATTTAAAATTCCGCCTAGCCGCAGTTTACTTTGCCTGTACCCAATTTACCTTTTTTTTCTGTGACAAATAGTGATTAATTAAGACATTTATAGGTTAACTTGACCAAACTTTGGTTTCTGTTTCACAAACGACGTATTGTGCTGTCGGCTGTCACAGCGGGTGGTAAAGACGGAGTTTGACATCTCTTTTTTTTCTTTAGCTTGAGTAGTTACGTCTCTTTTAGTTTGTCAAAGGAGGGTAAAGGTAAATAGTTTCTCCCGCTTAGTGTTTCTGTTCTGGGGAAACATACAGCGGTTTCTTCCTGCGGAGGATGAGTAACTGTTTGCAATGCGGTTTATCATGGTGCAGGAATTTTCCGGGAATTCAAGTTATTTTAAAATGAACCACAACAACAAAACTAATTAGAAGTTTTATTTCTAATTTGTGCCATTTCTCGTGGATTATTCACGTGTTTCAAGACTGATTTTTGTGTGTTTCTCACGGTCTTTTACTCAGGTGGGAATTACACCAACTACTTCTTTTGCTTTGTGTTTCGCTAACTAAAAAGGTATTTTTGGATTTCTTGATAATCCCACCTCCCTCTTTCCGCCAACCCTGCCAGAGGAAGTTCAGAGGTCATCGTCAGCACGAGATCTTATTATATTTATATTTCCCCCATTGTATGTTGCTGAAGAGCACTTTGCCAGGGCAGGAGCAGTCACATGCAGCAGCATTAACATAAAGCTCCTTTAAGAAGGAATTGGCACCCATTGTAGGACTCAAGGGCCACTTTGTAAGCTAAATCTCACTTGATCCTGCCTGTGAAGTTGTGGGGTGGGGGGAATGACCGTGTGGCTTCCAAAGCATGAAAAGTCCACAGCCTGTAACCAAGAGGACAAGCCAGGAATGCTGCGGGGCAAGTCTGTGCACTGCCCCTGTTGGCTTCAAGTCATACTGCTGCTCTTTTGTTTTCCTTTTTTCTTTTTAAATTCCAGAAAGGCTACTGTCACATCTGCAGAGACATTAGAGAGTGACAGGGTGGATAACATAAACACACTGCATTGTTGTGTGTAACCTTAGTTGCTCACCAGGGAAAAGGCAACGCCGCAGAAATTAGAGATGGACACTTCCATATTATGCCTGCACATTACTGCGTTAATGGATGAGGCTGAGATGTTAATCTTACATCTTCCCAGCTGTCAGTGGAGAGGTGATATCTGGCTGTATTACATCTGGCAGACACTTTCCACAGTGCGAGTTTCTTCTGCCTGAGTTGTTTGTATGTCTGTGGCAGCCGTTCCGACTGGAAGTGGGCTATTCTGATTGTTCGTGGAATTAATGGCTTCCTGTAAATGTGGCTACTGACCCACTTGTCGTAGAAGTAGAGTATTGAAGTTTGGTCATAGATTACCTGGCTGCAGGGCACGCATTCTTCACCAGCACTGACCCATATCATTCATGCTGGATTTTTAGGTCTGACGTTGCCTTCATCAGAATCGTCCTACATTTCCATGTACTCGGGGTAGGGATTACTTTGGGTCAGGTGAATGCAGTACAGGGCTCGAGCACCTGAGGACCCAGGCATCATTTCCATTAATGAGACTGTATTACAAACTGTACATAAAAAGATGGTCATAGTTACTGTGACTTCACCAGTTGGTTTTAGGATACTGGTAGTTCAGCTGCTGCCGTGATGTTTTTTTTGTTTTTGTTTTTTTTTATTATTATTCTATAGGCTAAAAGGGTGTCAATAGAGGAATTGATTAACTCAGCATGCATTGCGTTCTCGCTGTTGATTTTTGTTTTTAGGTACTCTATTATATTTGTTAACCTGTCATATGTCAATCACCAGTAACCTTCTCTGTCATTGGTACTCGCTTGCCTTTAGTACAGGGTGTATCAAAAAGAATGATCAGATTTCAGAGTGCCGATTGAAAGGCATGCTGTTAGAAAGAGCGGATTCGTGAGTTTCCCATGGATGCCAGTAGGTAGAGTAACAACAGCAGTGGCTGCAGTGACTCCAGACAGCTTGACTATCATCTGGACATGTGCCATGCATCCGGGGGACGCACCTTAAGTGCTTGCCGAACATTGTAAGTGTCGTATGTAAAACTTTATATTCAGCCATGTATTTTAAAATTTTAGGTTTCTGTGACCATTACTTTAAAAAAAAAAAAAGCTTTTTGTAATCGGATGATTCATTTAGATGAACCGTGTATAGAAAAGTTGTGATCCACCTATGTCACGTCACTTGTATGCCTCTTTGCATGTTCTGTTTTCTCACCATAAGTTTGTGTTGGGAGAAATACATTCATCTTATCTAGCTAAGACTTCATCTTCTCTGTTCTTTTGCCCTGGCTTAGACGGCCTATGCCAACAGTGTTAAGGGGACCCCCAAAGTTTATTTGTTTGTGTTGAAGACCCCTTTTTCCAGGATCCTCTCCAACAGGTGCCACTCTTTAGCTCTGACTAGTTTTCTCTGCAGCTGTATTTCTGTGGTTGCTCTAAACTGGCTGTAATGGACTTTTTGATGAATAAATATGACTTGTATTAAAATCATCCGGAACGCCATGAGGCTGAAGTTGGAGATTCAGCATGTGGCATTTGATGTGAATGCAACGGCGCTGATCAGTTGTGCTGCATTTCTTTTAGCGGTGATGCTTGCATTTAAAAATCCATGGCTCCTTTTTCCTTTACAATGTTACTGTCTGTCTT